AAGGAAGGAAGGAAGGAAGGAAGGAAGGAAGGAAGGAAGGAAGGAAGAAAGGAAGTCTTCAAGTGCCACATACTTCATGGAAACACAGAACGCGGGAAGCAGTAATAGAGCGCTCTAGTTGGGATACAAACCCATCGTTGTCAAGGCCTTCTGCAGTTCCTGGGGGTCCACGGTTCCACTCCGATCACTGTCGAAACTGATGAAGTGTTGTCTCCAGCCATTCAGCACAGCCCAGAGCTCTTTAAATTCATTGAACCCCATCGTGCCAGACATATCTCTCTGGACTATAATCAAGGACTAGAACTGTGTCATTTTCACATCTTTAATGATTACACCAGAGAGTGAAGAAGGGTAAGGGGAATTCGATGTTCTGTCTGTTAAAATGGCAAAAAGACACCCCCAAATTTAAAAGGCTAGTCTATATTCTTGTTGATATGACATTTTAAAAAGTAACGATAAAGGATGTAATAAATGAACTATGGGTTTAAAGCCCTGAACACCCACTTTTACTGCGGGGAAAACATAAGCTACGTGGTCTGACTATGAGAACACGATATAGCAGTGTAAGCTGCACTTTTCTTACTGGAATTCGGCTACATTTCCTAGATGCTCTCTCTAGGTTATGGGTTCTAATAGTCCCATGCTAAGACCTCAGACCCAAGGATTTCAGCTGCAGAAAGTGAACTGAGGTGGGAAGTGCCAGGGCTGGCAAGCTAGCCAAAAGGAGATGACAGCTGGCTGGTGTTCTTGTCTACTTTGGTGTCTTACTGAACTAACTCTAACACACTCTCCCACCCATCTCTCTGGAAAGGATCTCTGTAGCTCAGGCTAACCAGCAACTTGCAATCTAGCACCTGCTGCCCTCAAACTCACAGTGATCCTCCTGTCTCAGCATCCTGCATGCTGAGATTACAGGCATAAGCCACCAAAACCTCTGGCTCCTTGTGCAATCTTGAACAACCAAGCTTCCATTTACCAAACTTCCTGTCTGTTTCACACCGAATTACAGCCTAACAGCTAGTTATTTCACAAAGCTTTTTAGTGGTTACTTTCTATTTTTGTGTTTGCTTGTTATTCACCCTGAGATGAGTTGTTTTACAAATATATATATATATAAATACCCTAGACAACCATTAAGGAAAAGGATACATCCAACATTGAAACCATAAGGCGACAAGTCTCCAGATTAAAAGCTGTTAAATCAAAGAAAGTACATGAACAAATAGTTTCAAAAACTTCGCATTGCACTGGAATCACTGAAACTGACTATGAATTTTATTATTAATTCCCTCTTTAAGACATGCTACCCGTTTTGTATGGGACAGAGCTCAGCACGTTTGGCTTCTACCAATGTTGAGGGACCGTGTGGCAGGCATGGCCCAGTTGCAAAGACTGCACTATGCACGGATATGCCCGTGTCACAGGTGGCAGTGGGAATCCCAGCCCCCGCCCCCCCAAGATTTCAATCACCTTGTAAACAGGGTTAGGCTCAACTGGCAGCCTCACTGTTACTCCTGGCTTAGTCCTTTCTTTAAGCTGCAGGACTCCGTGGGCTCCTTAGCAGACATCTCTAATTCTGTTTGGCTAAGCCACTCCCTAGTCCCTGTGATCTGGAACTGTCTGAAGAACCTGTAGCAACGCTACGGGCCTGTAGTCGATCTTCCCGCCAGCGGAAATGGCAAAGGTCCTCGTTCATGACTCTCTTTCATTCTACACAAGTTCATGTGACTTCTTCCATTGTGGGCATGCCAATCAAGGTAACTTGAGTCCACGTTTCTGAACTGCAGTCCTTCACGTCTGGCTCAGCATGAACTATCTCTTTATTTCCTTTAAAGCAGACCCTTTATCTTACACTCAATGTCGTCTTTATGGACGGAGTGGCAAGGGTTCTCTGGTACAGAACGCTGTAGCGTGTTCTGCTATCGGGGTAAACGCCAGAATGTCTGCATTTGAGGGCATTCATGAATTTTCCCAGTTCGCCAACAACCGGGCAGGACCTCCACAGGGGATTTCCCACTGGACCGTGTTCCCTCTGGGTCTTTCTTATATACTGTTCTCTAGGCCTGAGTTATGTGCCCCTCGGGCACCATTGTTTCTTCATCAGCCTAGGTATCAATTCTGCAGGCTCACTCCTGTGCCTGCTGGTACGACCCCAGCCCAGTACTTATCCCGGGGCTTTTCACCAGGAGGAGCTGTTTCTGCCCACCCAGCGGAACTGTCCAGCAAACATCGACTGGTTATTTGAAGGGACGGACGGACGAATGCACTAGGGGGGAATTCTCATCCCTAGACAGCAGCTGCAGTTTAGTGTAGAAGTATGCTTCACTTGTGAAGGCTAAGGACGAATAAGGGTTATTATTTTTTAATAGAATTATATTGGATTTTACTTACACTTAAAAGTATTTGATTTAAGAATCAAATACCAATATAGGTATAGGCCCGTGTTTTCTTCATTTTGTTTAATTTGCTTATGTGGCTTTTTAAAGACGGAGCCTCATGCAGATCAGGCTTCCTTTGCCTCTATACTCACGATGACTTTGAACTCCTGCTTCTCCTGTCTCCACCTCCCAAGTGCTCGGAGTACAAGCACGGATCCCCACGCTCAGCTAATCGCTCTGTTCTAGAAAGTTTTTCCAATGCATTAGCCAACGGCCACCCAACAAGCAATTGATAGACGCAGGGTCCAGGCACTAGGAGTACTGGTACTGAGTACTGGGTACTAGGAGAAACAACGTGATATAAAGGTAGCACACAGATGTCCAATAAACTTGAGTGAGGCCAAACTCAATTCTCGACATTGAATTTTCACCTGGAAATAGCCTTTATTACTGTGAACCATTCGCTATTAACTTCAAAGCTATCCACGTGGTGCTGCTGCTTCTCTTCACTCTACTACAAGGCCTCAGACAACTTCTCCTCAGTAGAAACCGAACGCACCAGGCCGACCAAGAAAGGAGGCCTCCACCTGCCTCTGTCACACTCCTTGCCGAGGAACCACCAAATTCAAGAAAGGGGAAGCTCAGTTTCCGTTTTGGAGACTAGAAGTTTTCCCATCAAGCCCCCTTCTGGTTCCTGTCGGTAGCATGCCACCTGCCCCCTTCCACAGCTGGGTTTAAAAGATGGATGGCTGAACAGCAGAACTCCTGACAGCCCCGAGGCTGGGTGGTGTTCCATGGACACTACCAGGAACGAAGCTAATTAACTAGACCACACGGTCCCTGTGTTTCAGGAAATGTCTCCTGTATAATGCATGGATCTAAGGCCATCAGAAAAGTGACTGCCTTGACTACAATTTTTTAAATTTGTTATTACATTTATTTATTTCCGTGTGTGTGTCTGTGTGTGTGTGTTGGGGGTGCCAGAGAGAGTCACAGGATAACTTTCAGGAGTTGGCATTGAACACAGTTTGGACACAGGTCATCCGTCTTGGAGGCAAAGGCCAGCTGAGACCCCTCGCCAGCCCCCAGAACAGAATTCTTAAAGAGGAAGTGCTTTCTAAGGCTGTGGCAGTGCACTTCAGTATGTATTCAAATGTGGTGCATCTCTTCTACTGAAAGGCTGTAGGCTAATAAGATGGCTCACTGGGTAACCGCACTAGACCTTCCTTGATTTACCTCAATTGCTTGATGCTAAAAAATTAACAATTTAAACACAATCACCACTGTTCATTTCCCTACACCCAGAAGGCCTTTCTCTTGTTTTAGACCAAATTAAATGAAAGAAAATTGAAAGGCTCTTCTCTTTTGAAGTCTCACAAAACAAGGCACGGTAACAACGAAAACACGAGTGTTTTAAAGATGCCCATCTAGAGAACGTAGCACCTCAGACAGCTGAAGATGCTCCTGCAAATCCTCGGGTGTGAATTCTAGTTCGAGCATTTTCGCTTACAGCATAGTAAGAAGCTGACGTGCCTGTCTGGTGTGCTGCCCTCATTAGCAAATGGAAGTAAGTTAGAAGGTGGCACACCTGAGCTAAATCACTACTATTTGTCCCAGACGCTTCACATGGTCAAGGCTAGATTTGGAAAAAAAAATAGCAGTGTACATGGGATGATAAGGCCCAGCTAGGATCTTTGCAACACTTATTTCCCTATTTGCAGCCTGGAGCATAGTGCTGAAAAGGGAGGAAAATGGGATATATGCTAAACAACAGGGCTAAACATAGAGTCTGCAAAACAAACAAACAAACAAACAAAAAAAAACGGAGGAGGGAGCAGAAAGGCTAGTGTGAGGAGAAAGCAGGAAAAGTACTCTGTCCTCAGCATGAAGACACTGTCTCAGGTAGAAGGAAGAATGACCTAGGGAATGTCATGGCCGGCAAGTGTTTGTATTGCCAAGTAGCAAGCCCAGAGCCCAGACGGCAAGACTGGCCACGCTCAGTGCCACCAGAGTTGAGATAGAACAAGCCCATGGAAAAGTCAGTGTTAGTACTTATCATTGAGGATACCTGACCTGGCAGATCCCATTTCAGCACCCTTGCCTGTCCTCTGTGAGCGAGGCCTCCCAAACTGTCTCACTGGTTTGAATGGTTCCGGATATAGGGAACCCAAATCCAAGAAATCTGCTAACCTGTCTGGCAAACTGGAATGGCTTGTTAGGAACTATGTTCATTTAACCTTTTAAAAATAATAGCTTGGTGGATCAGAAAAGTTCGGCTTCCTTAAAGGGGCGATCAGGTCACAGCTGAAGTCCAGAGAACATGAGTATTATTAGTATTATTAGGTGAGTATTATTAGAGTATTATTATTAGCATTATTAGATGTGTATTATTAGATGCCAAGACCACGAACTTACGTTTGTACGCCCCAGCAATGCCAGACTGGGTTAGACACCTCTGCAGCTCGTCGGCATCAATCTGTCCATCCTTTAAAGAACAAACAACAGGAAGAGGAATCATGTTGGTGATCAGTACTTTCGAGTCCTTACTAGAGAAAAAAATATTACATCTAGCATTTTTTTTTAAAGGAATGCCTTTCAAAACTGGGCATTCTTCGCCTTACCCGAATTCCAAAAATAATTAAGGGCTGAAAGAATATTTGTCATGGCAAACAGTCTCTGTTCGGTTTGAACCAAAAAAAAAAAACTATCAAAATTAATCATTTTAAAATTAGTTATGGAATGGTTTAAAGACGTATCTCCCTAACCCCCTCTTTTTGAGAAAGGGAGGAAGAGGGGTGTATAGCACTTTCAGGCATCAGTAAATACAAGGCCTGGTCCAAGGAGAAAAGGGCTCTTGGATCGATTTATGACCCCGGAGACAGGGTTTTCCGAGCACAATTATACGTAGGAGACATAGAGTAGGCTCCTGCTACCCACTTATCGGTTGACTGAGGTCAGAACTAGATACATGCCATCTTTAGAGACCTTAGATAAAATACATAAACCCGAGTTGGTGTGATCCATTAAGTTATAAGTGGGGAACAAGATCAGCAATTTGCAAGAAGATGAACTTGTGGAATAGAGGCCAGGACTGCTGAAAGCAGAGCAGATGGGGTCACTTACATGCTGCCGACACCAGCAATCTAAGAAGGCTAGCCTTGAGGTGTGCTGTGTCTTGCTGTTTCGAAGACACAGATCAATAACGTTAAGTGGATACTGGAGAGGAAAAAGTCTCCCAGTCTTTGACTCAATTTTCCATTCAAATTCTCAAAGCTGTGTTTCTTAGAGTGCCGCTTTCAAAGGCGGCCCGAGGGTTTTGCTAGGGCATTTCCTTCTCAAATCATGACTTCATTCTTTCTGGCTCTTGTCCAGAACAAGCCTAAGGTGGGAAAGAGGGATTAAGTATCCCTTCTCGGCCGGATTGTGCCCACAGTACATTTACCAAACACATGGTGACCTTGCAAGCTAGGTAAGTGTCCTTCCTCAGGGCGGCTACACATCTGTCACACAGCTCTCTAAGGGAGGGAAGTGGGACATAGCGCTGCTTGGAACTAGCTGACCGGCATTGTTTCTCAGGGTCAGCGGGACATAACACCTAATAAGGACATGGAAAGCTAGCTCAGTAAGTGGTCTGCTCCAGGGCTTCCCTTCCGCACACTGAGAGAAGCTGATGGCTCCTTACAGTTCTTCGCTACCTCCTGCTGGGGTAAATGACTAATTACCAAATTCCACTGAAAGAGGTGTCGATCATAATTGGGCTACAGAACTATTACTAACACACTTCTTTAGGTTGGTCAAACAGAGGTTTTATGTTCAGATCTTGAATTTCATCTCTATAAGCAACCCTTGCTCTACTCTGAAAACACAGTCCTCAAGGCATCTTTATACTCTGTAGATCTTCAAAGGATACTTATAACCCCCTTTGGGTCAACTGAACCCTAGTTCAATCGAAAGTTTAGTTTAGAACTGATCTATTATGAACACAGGCAATACTCTGTTCAATATTTTGTTCAGAACTGAAAAGAAAAAGAACTTTTTAGTTTTCCTTTCGTTTTTTCTTCTTTCACCCCGGAAAAGGGACAGAGATCGTTTTTACTGCCCGTGCATTAAATGCTAACACAAACAGAATATAACGATTCATCAGTATTAAAAGGAAAGGCTAACCTGTCCAGCCACAGCAGCAAAGTAGCCATATAGCGGATCCTGAGTTTGTCCGGGAAACGCAGGCCCTCCGGGAGCCCCTCCATACTGTGAAAAAGAAATGCAAAGGCATCAGACAGAGAATCGCGTTTATTCTTTCACCACGCAAGGCTTTTTTTTTTTTTTTTAATGCAAAGTCTAGGCAACTGCAGCCTGTGTGCCTGCCCTTCGTTCATAGGCCCTGCCTCCCTAACCCTCACACCCCGGCGCAGTGACCCACCGGGCTTTTCCACTCTTGCTCCTTTGACATTTAAAAACTGGCAAAATAAGGCTCCATGAAAGTGATGCCATAATATGGCAAGACACTTAAAACCCCCTATTAACTAGGAGGTTACAGAGGTCAGTGTAACAGAAGCAGCGATCTGGTAGAGAGGCTGGGGGTTGTTTTCCTGTTGTTTTTCACGGTTTTTAAGATGTTTTTAAAAGTACTTGAAGTACAAGGTAAGGCTGGAGTTGGTCCGGGGCTGACAGGTATGGCCTGGGAAGAAGGGGGATGGCCGGGCTGTATCCCAGATGAGGGTCCCCGACCCCTGAGAAAGTGGCCTTTCTCTAGGGTTTTAGCTCATTTCTCCGGACTTTTGGGTCTCCCTGTCACTTTTCTTTTCAAGGGAGTGACCACAGGACCATTGTAGATCAAGATGGCTGTTGTTGCTTTGGGGGCATTCCGAGAGAGAGCGAGCGAGCAGGAAGTCAACACCCAGCTCGCACCAACTCACGCCACATTTCCGAGTCACCGAGTCGGCTTCCCGGGTCGCAGCCCACCCACCCGTGGGCCCGGGAGAGCCCCTAGAGAGAGAAGAGACAGAAAAACGCAGTGGGGCCAACGCCGGACATCAGGGGCCGGGAGAGCGCGCAGGGAGCATCCCGGGCCGGGAGTCCGCCCTCTGCGCCTCTTCCCGCGCGCGTCCGCGACGCCCTCTCGCCCCGGGGGCCCAGACGCGGCGGTGCCCGAGCGCGCTGCACTTACCCCGCCTGGGTAGTACCCGCCGCCGGCGCCAGGGTGCCCGGGATACGCCATGGTGCAGACTGCGCCTCCGCCCTGCGCGTCCGCGGCTCCGCCCGTGCGCCCGGAGCCGCCCCCGGAGCGCACCACGCCGCCCCGCGGGGGCCTCGCGCCGCCCATCCATCCTCCCCCGCCCCCCCCCCCTCATCCCTCTTCGCCTCGCACCCCCCCGCGCCCCCCCCGCTCCCTGCCGCCTCCGTGCTGTGCCAGCGCCGCCCGCGACCCACGGTCCGGCGGCGAGCCAGGGCCCCACTCCGGTTCCTACCGGGACCGGTTCTCCCTCCCGGCCTAGTGGCACCTTCCGACAGCCACGCCCCGCACCGCCAGGGTTGTTTTTTTTCTTTTTTTTTTTTTTCCTTCTTCCTACTGTGCTATTCTGTGCAACATTCGCTATTTAAACCAAGTTGTTGGACAGGGAAGGTGGGATAAGAGCGCGGCTTTATAGGGTTTATAGTTTTGTAGGGTTGTAGGGAAGGGAAGACGCTTTACAAAATAGGAAAGCACGTTTGAAACCCGGGTGAAACTTCTGGACTACGCAAGAGGCCAACTGTTAAGTTGGGTGTAGCGCAGGCTGGTTGGCGTGGGGGGTGGGGGGGTAGGAGGAGAGGGTATTTTCTAGGCAGGACAGCCTCAATCGGACCGTTCGTAGGAAATGGAAGTGGTTCATTTTCTGGATGATTCAGTTAGAAACAACACTACTGGGGAACGTTGCTGCGAAGGATGTGTGACTCACTTGGGTTCAGAAAATGCTTTAGAGTTTCTTTTTCACTTTTTTTTTTTTTCTTTTTGGTTTTTGAGACAGGGTTTTGCTATGTAGCCTTGGCTGTGCTGGACTCGCTTTGTAGACCAGGCTGGCCTCGAACTCACAGAGATTCCGCCTGTCTCTGCCTCCCTGAGTGCTGGGATTAAAGACATACACCGACACACCGGATTTCGTTTTTACGGTTTTAGAGCAACTGCAACAAAGAGTTGTTTGCTCGCGCTTGACTGTTAAGGACTCAACAGTGTGATTTTTTGGTTTGTGTTTGTACATTACTTCTGTGGCCCAGAGCCCCTAACTCATGACCCAAACCTCCCCATCAGTCACCATGCCTGCCTGCTTTCCTCATCTTAACATTTTAAGAAACACTTTAGCGAACAAGATTGACCATAGTGTGAGACCTTGACTTGAGCCATTGGATGAGTCATCAGCACTTCTGTCCAGTCCTCTTTTTGGACACACAAACTTGAAAAAAACCAAAAGTTCTGAAGAGAGAAAAATTCTAGTAGTCTTTATGGTCACGTAGCAAATGTGTGGCCTGTTTGTGTCTGATTCTGGATATAAAATTACCATGGTTTTCAAATACCACAGTACTAAGTCTAGGTAATTTAGGCATTTTGAGGTTTTTGTCCTGTATTTTGGAACGTTAATTAAGCTAGATGATCAGGGCCGAACGCACATTTGAGTTGAAGCTCTTTCGGGACTCAAGTTTAAAAACAACAACAAAAAAAAAGCGCATCGCTAATAAAATGTTTGCAGTTAATTCAGGATTCATTTTATGGATAAGTGACTATGCTAATTGTTACATTAGGAATCATTAGACTCTGGTTACTCTCCCACAAGAAGTGAATTTTAATGGCGTGCCTCAAATGAAATTCTTACAGTGATTGCCAGCAAATTAGTAAGCCCCTGCTGCTTTACATTCAGGGGGAAAAATGTGCCAACTAGCAATGACAACAAAGACAAATATATATATATATATATATAAAGAAGGTAATGAATGAGTGTCAGACCTTCAGAATACTTTGCCTATTTGTGTAGTCCCCATAAAATCCTGTAAGATAGGTGCTTTTATTATGCATTTGAGAAACGAGCTGAGAGAAGGCAGAAAGGAAGGAGGAAATCAACTCACACAGCTGGGCTATGTATGCTGCTAGGAGCTCCAGCTGTGCCCCTGGGAGAAGAAAATGTCCTGATAGTAAACATCTCCCATCACGCCTTCCCTGTAGCAACTTCTAGTATCTGAGGAGAGAGCATGTGACCCTTTACCTCACTCACAACCACAAAGTTGACTTTAAGGTAATTGTTAAATGCCAGAGCAACTGTTTTCCTCCTGCCTTCTAAGATGTAAACATCATTCTTAGCTCTCGGACATACCCAGAAAGAGGCGGACCAGATGTGGGCCTCAGGCAGCAGTTTGTAAACCATGGCAACCTTATGACTCAGGAAGTACCTACAGCCCTCAGCAAATAATCTTGCTGGTTTTCAGGTAAAGCCTACTGGTACTGGTGGTGAGTCACCCCAGAGGGATGGTGACTTGCCCAGTGTAAGAGCCTGTGATTACAGCGGCTACTTCGAAATCCGTTCGCTGGTCGACAAGATGTACGACAGAAACACCGTGAGACTGTGCCTTGCCTGTCTGTCTCTCACCCCGTGCGATAGTAGCCAGAGGGTATGAAGAATGACAGGCTGTCCTTCAAACGTTTACTCATGTCATGCAAACCCTTCTGTTCATAGTCTGAGTATTATAGAACCTAAGCAACTCAGGAACGGATAAAGACTCAACATCACCGTTGCAAAACTGAAGTGTAATTTCCGTATTTATTTTCATGGACAGCATTGACGAGGCACCCAATTAGCAATGTCTCACATTCGTGGCTTGTGCCGAGTGTCGTGGCTTTGCACGCAAAGCACACCACCTTCAGAAGATGCTGTAATTATGTTTTATAGATTAGGAAACTGAGAAGCAAGTAGCTTCCCCGACGTTACCTACTGGGTTTTGACTCTCAATATAAGATTAAAGCCTAAGTGTTTTAAAATAAAAACAGACTATAAAAACACTGTCATGTCCCTCCCACCCCACCCACCCTCCACATGGTAGAGCTTCCGGAGGCATTAGAGCTGAGAGGGCAGTACAGAAAAAGAACCTGAGAGGCAGAACAAACTTCTCCAAAGATCCTCATGCCTACCTTCTCAAGATCAACGAACCAATAATGGACAGCATACTTACTTCATCCCTAAGAACCTATAGAGAGACAATCACCAGCCCCTCCCGTGTTTCACTGAAAATCTGAATCAAGTTTAAAAACCCCGGTGGAGTGAGATCACAGTCTTATCCCTGTACCCCCAAACTGTAAGTCGCACATACAGGCGCTGCCATCTGGTACGTCAACTAGCCATCTGAGGAGAGGGGCCGCAGAGCAGTAAGCTGTGTGTTTATACAGAAGAGAACGTCCTCACCAGAGCCGGAATACTGTCATTCATCCTAAAAAAACGTACCGAGTCTTACAAAACGGCTGCAGGGAGCTATTCGCACGTCCTACCCTGACTGAAGGCTGTGGCTAAAAGAGGCTGGGGAGGTGGCTTCAGTTTTAAAGCTAGAAGAAAGCCAGCTCTTTTGAGAAGAGGAACTTTTGTGAGTGTCTGCTCTAATCACACCGTTTTACAGATTTTAAAGAGAGGGAGTGTCTAAAAAGAGGCCAGTGAGTGGCCCATTCTCTCGAGAGCTGACTGAGCCTGGTATAAGTATTTTGCAGTTCCCAGTATAAGCCCTGACATGATCTGGCTTTGCCTCTTCAAAGATGTTGTGGTTTGGATCTTAAATGCTCTCCAAAGGCCATTCGTTAAGATTTTGATCTCCAGCCTGTAGTGCTAACTAATGGGGGAAGGTGAGGGAAGCATTTCAGAGATGAAACCTTAGAAGAAGGATGTTAAGTCACTGAAAGGGATATTGAACCCTGGCTCCTTACCCACTTTCTCTGTTTGACTCTCTAGTCATTGAAGGGATTCTGGCCAGCTTGGGCCTGGCAACCATGGCTCTGGTGGGCCTTGCCCTTCTCCCCATCCCTCTACCTTGCTAAAAAACCATTAGATTGCATTCTTAAAGCTAGCTGCTAAGGTCCATTCCCTTATTTGACCAATTCTTCCTCCCGAGGCTGACTACCAAGATCCAGCTATCAAAGTATTTAAGTTCCGCAATCAAAAGCCCCCTTTGGCTCACATGATTTTAACAGGCCCAATTAAAATTAAACATCTCATCCTTGTACTTTTATAAACCAACCACCATTTGCATATAGGCCATGTCTGTCTCATCTCTATCCAAAGGCAGACAAATATCTCTTCCCCCTCCCCCTTGCTCCCTTTCCCTTCTCCCTTGTCCTCTCCTCTAAGTCCTATCTTTGTCTCTTATTCTTTGTTTTCTCTCCCTTTGGCTCGAATAAATCTCCTTTGTGCTGAGAACTTGGTCTTGGAGGCCCTAAGCCTACGCTTTTCCTTCCAGTCAGTCCAGGATAAGTTTGCTTCACAACACAGTCACCACCAAGATGTTCTATCTCACTATCAACAACAACAACAAAAAACAAAAAACAAAAACAAAACAAAACAAAACAAAAAAAAAGGCTGTGTTGCTATGAGACCTTTAGCTGTGAGGTCTCACAATAGAGGTCCCCAAATAGACCTTTCGTCTTCATAAGTTTTGTTTGTCTTGGGTATTTTGTTACAGTGATAGAAAGCTAACAAAGACAGGATTCTGTTCTTTTCTGATATTCCCTCTGGAACCCATCTCTGGACACGTTTTCAAAACAAAAGGTAATGGATACACTAAGTCCCTAAAGAAAGGTTAACATGAACATGATATATAACTTTCAGGCAGAACTTCCTTACTTAGATAGGGGTGAAAGGAACTGAGCTGCCAAGTAACTGCAGGTGTTTCACCATTTCCGGCAGCTGACTCAATCATGGGCCTAATGTCTGGAGAAGAAATGAGCAATGCATTTTACAGCTAAAAGCTTTCTTTTAGTTGTAATCTGAATGAGTCAACGTATTAACTAAAGACTTGTCCCTGGGGCAGGGGATATAAGTCTGTGTTAGAACACTTGGATAGTGAACATGGGTCCTGGTTTGATCCCCAGAATTATATACACTAAATAACAACAACAATAAAAACAAGAGACAGAGAATGAAAGAAAGAAAACACACATCATGTTATTATGGAAAAACTCAGACCTCCAAGTTGGAATGGGAGTGAATATTAAATAATAACACAGGCAATTACTACCAAAACCATTTTCTTAAGTTCTTGGGAA